GAAGGGAAGCACAGCTTGTGATAGGACGTGACTATTCTCGTAGCTATCTCATCCGGCAATAGAAGTGATCAGTTTGTCTCTCTTTATTTGTCGTGAAGTTTTTCATGAGTTATGACTTCAAATTTATATCAGAATTGTTAGATCAGGATATAATTTTGCCATGTATTTTTGTATCACTTCAAAATGTATTAAATGTGACTGATATTTGTGACAACATGAATAATTTCTGCATTACAAATTTCTTGATCTCTTGAGAAATGTGTGTGAAATTTTCAATATTTTTTCTTTTGAATAGGAAATGTTCTAGGTATTGTTAGTTTTATGATTAATATTGCTTTTGCTTCCCAGAGGCCTTCATTATTTCAGCTTGTGTTTCTCAGCATTCCTGTAGGTTCTCTTTTTATCTGCATATTTTTTGAACTGTTAAGGAAATAGATTTGTGAAAAAGAAAAAAATAATTAAATAAATAATACATAAATTTATTTTATATTGCATGCCATTTTGATATGGTTTCAATAGACAATCTTGCTTTGTGTCATTATATGTCAAAGGTTGAGAGTGTAATTCATAGCAGTTGAAATGTATCAATTAAAACTTAGCACCCGTTTCAACAATCTTTCAAATACATGTAATTATAGGTGATGAAATTTTGGACCTTCAAAATTTCTACTTGTGTATCTCCTGTTGGTACATTTTTTATCATTATGTACAAAATTAAGGCCATGCTGCACCTGACCAATTAAAAGTATCTATAAAATTGTGCAATTATTAAAATTGTTCAATTCCATGTTATGTTAATGGGTAATGGACGTTTCTTAGAGGCAGTCTTGTAAAGGAATGAAGCAAAATTGTCAGGTGGAGAAATTTTTAATTTAATTGGAATCAACGTAGATGTGATATTAAGACAAACTAAACAGCCATTATAACGTATATATCCATCGTGTAGAGCGCAAAGATGGAGAGAGTGATGGCAATATTAATAGGCACATATTAGCAGCAGTACAATTAGATTTAGTTACGTGGCAGACTCGGCCGTGGGCCTGCTGTTCCGTCTCCACGTAAATTTCGCTATGCTCTGCGAGCTCTACTTTCCGAGTGTTGTGGAACTTAAATTTGAGAAGAATCGATAGAAGCAGTCAGGAAATGCGAAGATCCCAGGTTCATTAGCAATAATAATATAAAAATATGATAGGTACATATTTTTGGTGCATTTATATTTATATAAAATGTATATAAACAAGTTATATTGTAGGTACATTTGTGAGGCGGTGTTCACACCGACAGTTAGATAAATAATAGTATTATATTAAGTAATAATTATTATATTATTATAAGTTGATTGTATTAGCGTAAACGTAATTTCGCTCATATTTTGGAGACCTGAAAAAATGTTTTTGAAAAGCTTTAGCTCGCTTGGTAATTGGTTTCGAAATAAATGTTCGATAGAAAAGTCATAGGAATTTTTATCCTCATTAAAATTGATTTGAATCATTTTTTCACAGGACTTACCGTTTAAGAGTTAAAGAGGAAAGTCTGGGAGAAGTTGACCGAATGCCGGTGTTTCGGGCCTCTCGGATTAAGCGCGGGGTCTGAAAGGTCGAAAACTTACGGATACAACATAAGTAAAGAACAAGTTTTTATGAACTTTTTCCAGGTAAAATCTACTTACCGAGTAGACTAATTGGCAAATTAATGAAATTTTAAGTATCTTAAGTCATTTCCTGTTTTGCTAAAAATTCGGAAAATAAATTAGCGTAAAACTTTAATTAGCATAAACTTTCTAATGATCGTGATAATGCCTTGCAAACTTGTCATAGTTTCTATATGCAAACGTCTTCCGTCGAACATGTTTTGTGTAATTATTTGTTCTACGGGTAACCACTTTCTGGAAAACACAGGGAAAACGGGGAATTCCAATTTCAGAAAAAATATAGGGAAAACACAGGGGAAAAGTTCTCACGTACAAAGAATTGATTTTTGATGTAGAATTCGAGCTTATATATTTCCAATATACAGAATTAATAATTTATGATAAAATTATTTATATTTTTTTATTTACTATAAGAATCATTTTTAAATTGGTATTGTAAGTTAATTCTATCATTTTAAGTCATAAACTAGCAAATTACACGATACTCTATAAAAGCGTGTAATGCACGGTCGTCCAACTGCCCTGCCGGCTGGCTGCGTGCCATTTATTGTAACCCGTGGAAGGTAATTAATTAGTCGAAAGCGAGTCTCTTGCATCCTGATCGTGCGAGAACATCCTGCGTGTGCTCCTAGGACACGCGTTCTACGGGGCTCAATACTCCCTTCGATGTAAAAATGCGGAATTTTTTTTTCGTACATCCGAAAATTGAAAAGCATCCCAACTTGGTTAGCGGCCGGGCAAACTGCTGAAACCAACAACAGGAAGCTGTGGCCCTTGGGGCCTTTCAAGTTGGACACCCTAGTCTAATGTATTTGAAAATTCGCGCTTAGTATGAACTAAAACGTTGCAAGCCCTCCAAACGTCATGCGTGTAAGAAGAAAAGACGCAGCCATTGATGTTCAATTTGCTTCATTGTGTTCGTGTGCATGCGCACATTTGGGCTACAACAGGCATTGGATAATACACTAAACTGCAGGTGGAGAAAAATGCTATCATAGTCGATCGACACTTGAGTTCCTGTGCTCGCGGGGTGAGAGCTAAGCAGAAAGAGGCTGTTGAAGAAAGGAAGGGGGCGGGAAGCGGAATTAATAGCACTGAATAAAGAAATAGTAATACTGAATGGCACAGACTTTCTCCTATTAGTTTGTTTTCTAATTTCTTTGGTCTGGACTCTCCACATGCCATGTGCCATACATAGCCACCTGAAGTTCTTTTTTTTAATTTTCTCGATTTTTCGGTTTCATAATAGATTCTAAATATTACTTTAAAAATATTGTAGAAGAGTAAAACCTCTTCATGTAATGAAATGTTCTTTGACAAATTTAGATCCTTTATTTGAAAAGGGCATTTAAACGTTATTTTTTGTTTTCGAAAAACCTTGGAAGGCATTTCAAACAATTTCACACTTCAATGCACTAGTCGCTGAAATGAGCATATTAAAGGCGTGAGAGATATTTCAAAAAAGTCCATTTGTTTAATTTTAAAAAGAAAACAACATAATACAACAAAATGAATTTATATATATCTTAATTCGCTGTATCACTGAGAAAAGTTTGAAGAAGAAAAAATTGGAACCATTTCTGAGAAAATGGCGTTTAAGCATTTCTGAAAATGTCGAATTTTGAGCTCATTTTCACAGTAAAGTTTTGAGCTTTCGAGAAACTTTATAAGACATCATTCTCATGCACTCATACAATAATTTGAAGAAATAACCGCTAATGTAAATATCAAGGACGTGAGAGGCTAGTCATAAAAATTAATTTTTTTGTAATGTTTGAAAAAAGAAAAGTATAAAGGAAAATGGCGTTTGTCATCTCATTGAGCACATTTAACACTATTCCTATGAAACGTTTGAAGAAAAAAATTGGAGTTATTTTTGAGAAAATCTTGTTTTTGATATATTTTGAAATTGCGATATTGCGCGGAAACGACTAAAATTGTCAATAAATAATATTCGATTTTGTAGTTGTAGGAAGACGCCAAAAAATTCTGACTACAAAGTGTTAGAGGATTTTTTGTTACTTTCTCGCTACCGCGTTCGCCGTTCAGAGAAAGTTATGTAATACTGTTCGAAAAAATGGCGAATTTTCGGCAGAAAAACTTATTACAGGGCCCTGACATGGAAAAAGTGGATCAATCCAGCTACTAAATTAAGGAAAAAATCTCTAACCCGTGGGGTTGCCAGAATCCGTTTTGTGGGACCTGGATACCGAAAAATCGATTGACGACAAAACGTCTGTCCGTCTGTCTGAACAACGATAGCGTGCTAAACCATTCAGCCAAATTTCTCCAAAATTTATATTCCCCAATCGATCTGGCGCATGCAACGGCCTCTTGAATTTGAAACATTTTAATTTTGGGGAGGGGGTACTTTACTTGAAGCCCCTCTGACATTTTCCATATTTTCAAAAAAGGCTCCATCGTTTTAGATTAAATTTTGTTGTTGGATAGACGGACAAAGGACTTTTCAGAAAATGGAGCAGGTCCATGTTGGTTGAAAATCCTGATTTTTCTAAATTTGAAAAAATCACACACACACAAATTCGGCGTCTTCCTACAACTACAATTATGAAGAAAACCATTTTTTTCTTAAATAAAATGTGATAATGAAAAACATCTAAACATTGCCACGTTCGATTTTTCTAAAAGATGAATATATTTTGCGAAATTTGGTGTCAAACATTGGCTATTTTTATTTTCCTTAAACCATTTCTTTTTCTTAAAAACAGCACTTTTTTTATTAAATCGAGATCTTGGCATAAAGGACGCTTAAGAGACTAGTGCAGGTCTCAAGTTCTTTCAAATGACTGATTTTTCGAAAATTTAAAATAAATTAAAAAATGTTGGTGACTTTCTTCTACTACAACTGTGAAGATATTTTTTTACTTAATGAAATGTTTTCATCAAAAGCAGATCTTCAAAGGTGTTATTGAATTTTTTCAAAATATGAGTATTTTTTTGTGTAATTTGGCGACAAATACAGTCGCCCACTCGAATTTCGTGCGCTACGTGAACGTAGTTCCAGGCAGATGGATGCTTCGTAAGTTGGGATTTGTATATTATACTATATTTCTTTGTTTCTTACATTTGATCTTTTTTTATTCATTTACAAATTAATCTTATAGAAATTATTTATAACTATTTGAAACATGTGAAACAAAAATTGCTAGTCCTCAGAGAATATTATATTGGAATGCACCAATAACTTGGCAGCTAATTTCTGCAAATTACGTCTTATTGAAAATTGAAGAGAGAATTTTTCTTCAAATACAATTTGTTCTCCATAGTGAGTTCTTTCAGTAATGTACTTTTTGTTTTTAGAAAATTTTAGTAGTTTTCGCGCATTATTGCGAGCAATATGTGCAACTTTCAATAATTAAAAAGACAAGATTTGCACAAAAAACCTGCTCCAAATTTTTTCTTTAAGCTCTTAGTAGGGATAGTGCAAAATGTTGTTTATAAGGTGACATATATTGCTCTATTTTTTATTTTTTCAAAAAATTTCATAAAAGTAAATCTTATGACTTAACTCTCAGGTCGTTAATATTTATATTAGCGACAATTTGTTTTCTTTATTGTATTTGAGTTCATGTGCTTTCAAAAATATCATATAAATTTGGTCGAATTCTCAACCGTTTTCTGCGAAATCTAGTTCAAAATTTCACATTTTCAGAAACGTACAAACGCCATTTTTTCAAAAACTGCTCAATTGTTTCTTCACATTTTTCGAACGGATAGTGGTAATTCCACTCTTTAATATGATGTAGTGTTCATTTTTTTCCCTTCAAAAATAGTTGTAATAATATTAAATAAGTGTAATTTTTTAAAGACCTTTTATGTCGTTAATATGCACATTTCCGCCAAAATAAACACTATTGTATTTGTCTTAATGTACTTAAAATGACTTCAAATCAAGCTTTTCGGAATCTCAAACATTGTATCTGAAAAGAAACTTCAAATTTCGAATTTACAGTAGCGCTTAACCACCTTTTTTTAAAAACTGCTCCAATTTTTTTGAAAAAAAATTTCAATTTGAGACGAGGGTTTACTGTTCTTTAATATGCAAAAAATTATATTCCCGTTCTATTATTAAAAAGCCGAAATAATAAAAACATTTCAAAAAATGTTCTTAGAGCGGCGATAGATGACAGCTGGCGGCAACTTCATATAGCTAGCTGAGACCAAAGGAAGTAGAAAACTAATTCTCTTTGAATGATCTTTTCATTATATATTGTGTTGATTGAAAATGGTCTAGCAGTAGAGTATGCTAAATCGCCTGAGCCTCGCCCTCAATAGAGACATTTATTTGTTTTATTTAATACGGGAATATCTGTGCCAGTTTTGGGCTAGTGCCTTTAATTAATGGGGAGAGTGCATACAAAATTAGAAAATGCATCGAGATACGTTGAATGCCGGTGTAGATCTACCACGAACTTTTACATCGCTCGTTTCTTGAAGAGTTAGGTTTTTAAATATTGAACAGCATTACTTATCGTATCCATTCTAAACACGAACTAGTGGTGTTAAAACAGCATTACTTTCACGCAGAATTACGCGGCAAGTACTGAAATGAAGCCACGGCCGCCTCTGGCTGGTAGTGGCAGTGGGCGGGGGGAGGGGGCTGCAACAGCGCCTCTGGGCTGAGCCTTACCTTGGGCCTCGCGGTAGGAGGCGGGTGTCGTAACTTCTTAGTTTCCCGTATACGTGTGTCTAAACCATGCGTAGGCTTTTGTGGGTCCTGCGGAGCTGCAGCTACCCTGCTCCAAATTTGTTCTTTAATTTTCTTGTAAGGATGGAGTAACATACACTTATAAAAGTGACATAGGTCCGATTTTCACGGTTAACTCTGAATTTTCGAAAGTATGAATTTTTTCGGTGTCTTCCTACAAGTACATAATTAAAGGTAGAGATTTTTCCTCCAAATGCAATTTGTTCTACATAGTGAGTTCTTTCATTAAAGTAATTGACATATTTGAAAATTTTAGTAGTTTTCGCGCAATATTGCCCGCATTATGAGCCTTTTTATATAAAAATAACAAGATTTTTGGAAAGAACGGCGCCAGATTTTTCTTTAAATTTCTTGCAAGAATACAGTAAAATATAGTATAGATGTGGCATGGGTCAGATTTTCACGTTTAACTTTAAATTTTTGAAAATTTCAAAATTTTTCGGGCTTGTTCTTACAACTACAAAATTGATGATAGAGATTCTTCCTTCAAATAATATTTGTTCTCCATAGTTAGTTCTTTCAGTAACATACATTTTTTTTGAAAATTTTAGTAGTTTTCGCGAAATATTGTAAGCAATATTTGCAATTTATGAAAAAATACAAGAACAAGATTTTCTCAAAAACGGCTCCAAATTTTCTTTTAAACTTTTGGTAGGGATTATGCTTATGCACTCTATTAGAGGACATAAACACCATATTGCGCTATTCTTTTGATATTGTTTTCCAAAAATTATAAAACTTTTTTTTTTTACTCTCACGTCGTTAATATTTACATTAGCGACAGTTTCCTTACATTAATGTGTTTATGAGTACATGTGCTTTAAATACTGCGGGATATAGTTTCCCGAAAACTGTTTTCCGTGAAAATGAGCTCAAAATTCTGTATTTTCAGAAACGTTCACACGCCTTTCTTTTTATTTCAGCTCCAAATTTTTTCTTCAATGTTTTCCATCAGATAGTGCTAATTGCTGTTTAGGATAACATAGAATTAATTTTTCTATATTCATTTGTTTGTTGTTGTTTGATTGTTGTGGTTTTTTTTTTTTTTTTTTTTTTTTTTTTTTTTTTTTTTTTTTTTTTTTTTTTTTTTTTTTTTTCTTCCTATGTTCCCTTTGTTTTTACAATACCACACCCACAAGTATTGTAATAGTATAGTATATGTGCCAAAAACATTTTTTCGCTATCAGAGACTGAATCTTGTTTTTCTGACAAAATATCGGATTTTTTTCTCCAACTTCAGGTAATTTATTTTTCTATATATTTCATGTAGGCACATATTACGTATTTGAGGGAAGTAAAAATTAATATAGTTGTTTCTTTTAAAAGTAGTGAGAAATTCTAATTTTTGGGGGCTTAACAGCTTGGAATGCTAGAGCGTTGTAATTCAAACAAATTTTAATTCTTGGCATAGTGGCAATGTTTTTTATAGTATGTGACCTTACAAGTTTCATTTCATTTTATACAATTGAATACTGTCTTATTGTTCCCGTGTCTTCTCTGAAAAACAGGTCACTTAAAATTTTAGGAAGCAAAAGTTTTATAATTAATTTATTCCATTTCAAGTAAAAAGTAACATTAAACAAACTCGCAAGACCGTCAAAAATGTGTTTAATGTTAATTTTACTTCATATGGAATAAATTAATTATAAAACTTGTGCTGTCTAAACTTTTAAATGGATCTGTACTGAAGAGAAAAATTTTCATTTCCTTTAGCAACTGTTAATTTTTGTGTGAATATTTATAATTTAATAAATTGTGTTTCTAAAATGATATTTTAATTTCAAACATGTTGCAGATGTGCCAGCCAGTGGAATGTATTTCATGACATACGATTGGCTTCAAAGAGTGCTTACTCCGGAGGGTCAGGATGCAAATAAAATTGGATTACTTAGCACTATTTTTGCTGGAGGTATGGCTGGAGTTGCCAATTGGCTGGTAGGAATGCCTGCTGACGTCTTAAAAAGTAGATTGCAAACAGGTGAGTAAAGTGAGTTTTTAGCATGCACTTGCCTTGAATGATAAAATTTATGTTTCAACAACTGTTTCAGAATTCATATTGCTATATTGCTGAAGAGTAAAGTTTATTTTTAGAAAAGAAAGTATGTTCAAAATGCCAACACCTGTTAATAGATGCAATAATAGTATGTTTGTGTTGATCACCTTAATGACATTTGGATAATTGCTGTGAAAGTATAGGCTAGGGATCCCAACCAATTTCTTGCAATGATCCCTTTTAAAAGAATGGTTCATTGATATCTTTTTTGTATAATATGCCTACAGCAGACAACATCATCATAACTGAAATAATTGCTCATAAATTCCTTTAAAATAACATCTAGACAAAGAATGCAAAGAATAATTTTGAAAAATGGTTTATTAGGTTTGTTTATTTATTTGTTCTATCATTTTTTTAGTTTTACTAATAAAATAATTTTTCATAATCAAAATAAATTCTAATTACACAAGTTTGATATTTAATGGTGGAAATGATATGAAATTTCAAAAAAGAGCAAATTTGTAATTTATTATTTGATGTTTTGAATCCTTATATAGAAAACATTTGTCAATTTCATCTCGGTGTAATCAGTAGTATCTTGATATTCATTATATATCCGATCAGTCAATGGTGCATATTCAGCTATTGACCACCAATTGAACACTTCATAATCATTGGCACACTTCAAAAAATTTTCAAGTTGATTCTGATCCTATTGGGAACCCTTGGCAAAGGCTACTATGTACTAGAACTCATTAATAAATTACAATAATAAAATAGTGTTCTTTCTAAAGATTCTACTGAGAGATGACAGCACCAGAAGAAGTGTTAGCTGTTTTAACAATGATAAGTTCTGTCTTAATTAATAACTTGTTACTGTCTTCTTATTTATTAAGGTATGTTTCTCCACAGCTCCTGAGGGCATGTACCCCAACGGTGTAAGAGATGTATTCCGTTCACTGATGAAAGAGGAAGGTGTCACTGCCTTGTACAAAGGCTGCGCCCCTGTGATGCTACGTGCTTTTCCAGCAAATGCAGCTTGCTTCATGGGTTTCGAATTTTGTATGAAGTTCCTGAATTTTGTTGCTCCAAGTCTGTGATACGCCTAAGCCATTTGTGCCTTTAGTAGAATGTAAAAATTTCAGTTTAGTTTTACAAGTAAATATATTAGAAATTTTTGCAAAAAGTTGGTTTATTAAACAAATCTTATACTACTGCATCAAAATACTTGGACATTTTATTTTCATTGTTCTGGAATTATGAAATAATGTGGTTTTGTTGTGTATTTCATACCATCTTGTAAAGTGCTTCATAAAACTAAAAATGAAAAGTCACCCAGATGTGGTCATACAGATTTTACAGAGCTGTTTTTACATTTTGTTACATACATTGTTAAATGTGTTTGTAATATCAACAGAAGAAAGAAATCTATTTTCTGCCTCCTGTAGATTTGTTATTGCTGGTTCTTTTAGGATGTATATATATATAGAAGATTCAATTGCAACTAACAATTCTAAGTCAAAATCACCTGTAAATAGGGATTATTACAGTGTATATTATTCTACACTATTCAAATATTTAAGTATGTTTGATTCAATTTTTATAGGAGTGTACAAATGAACAATATACCCCCTGTACTTTCACGTTGTTTATTTCAATATTTTACTAGATAATCGCTTAATGTTCTTGAAATTTGAGCCCGACATGAAGTTTTGAGTTACATTATTTATAAAGTGGTGCTACTTTCATTGCTCAATGCACACTAGTGCTGGAATTTCATTAAGTGAAAATTTAAGATTGTTGTTCAATAATGAATCCTGCTCTGATATTCTGCTTACATTAAATGAAATGTTTGTTTGTTAGTTTTTATTTCGCTTTATATGTACCTTGTGCCGAATCCAAAAATATGCAGTTTACATGCTCATTGATCTTTGTCACTTTTCAGAAGCCAAACAAACGATGAAGTGGGTGAATTTTTATTTAACATATCAATAATTTCATTCGTATGCAGTATAATCTGCTCTTGACCATAGTCATTATTTTTAGGTGATTGAAGCCTCTAATATTATGTTGTATTGTATTGAAGTTCACCGATATTGTTTGGTTGACTGACCATGACACTGTTCTTTCTTCTTCCTCAATGAAAGTATTTGTGGCTGAAAATATTTTGCCATTGTCTTGTAACGTGTAGGAGAAAAGTTACTGCCACATTTTTCCTTTATAAGCAAAATGTATTGTAATATTATTAATAATATTATTATTATAGCAGCTAAGAGCTCAAACTTGGGGAAAAGATTTTCTTATTGACAAGTTATTAAATGTGATTGTAAAACTATGCCATCCCAAAGCTGTCTTTTTTTTGGTTGAATATGATCATTCATTACATAATCTTGCCTACGATATATGTAATATGTTTCTTGTTGTCTCTTAAAGCATTTCTTTTTAAATGAACTCATTTGTGATTGTTCAAGGGATGTGTATTTTATTAAACTTTCATTTTGTTGAATAGTAAGAACTTGTTTGCAGTTCATTAAAAGTTTAGTTCCAGTTACAATGGATGTTTGAAACCTTATTATATAAATTGCACTTTTTTATGTACATTCAAGTTCTGTGTAAATGTATTGTGTAAACCGACTGTGCCTTTAATTGCTTCTAGGATTAGGACTTGTGTAGGAAATTTTGTGAGAAAATATATTTTTCAGTACTATTGGTGTATTTTAATTTCTTTGAAATGTTCAGATTCTGTAAGAATTACACTGCATTAATATTATTTCAACCTTTACATGAGGGGCAAAAATAATTACGTTTGATGTCAGCTTCTTTGTTTGAATCAGCCACAAATTATCCAAATCCTCAGTTCTATCAATTGTTCTGTGATTGTTGTCATTAAATCTGTACTGTCCCTTGATTGCTCCTAAAACAACTGTTGTTACTGGTCCGACTGTGATTGTGAACTCCTAATGTTCTAAACATTACAGTGGATTTTCCACTATCCAGGTGGAATTCAGTCGCCCTGTCTGAAGAACTCTAGCGGCCATCTGCTCTGATCAGTAGTCGATTGTGGTTTCTCGTATCACTACCAAGAAAATGCCGGAGCAGTACCTTGACAAAGGGCAACGGATCGCGCGCGATTATGCCTTCTTCGTCTGTGTCCCCTCCTCTCCTCTCACACACGCATGCGGGACAGCGCCAACTCCCGTCGTGTATTCTCTATACGTACAGACCAATGACCGGCAGTTGACATGCCCGGAAACCAATCAATGTTTGTCCTGACAAAGGGAGCATGGATTACATTTCTACCTCCCAATAATAGTTCTCATAGGTAATGGAAATTGTCGATAAATCCCAGACTCGCGAAGCGAGGAGGGGATATATCTGAGAATGTCTAAAGCACGAGTGGTATTTAATAGAATTATTCCACAAATGAAATTACGCCCAACAATTCCAAAATACGCCAAATATTGAAAGTAACTGAAAGCATATTAAAATCAAGGAAGTTATGTTATCGCACCTGCGCGGTTTATTGCAAATCAACACAGCGATCGATACTACTTTCCCCCTTCTAAGAGGAGTCGCAGCTGGAGCAGCTAGGCCAGCAGGGAGGAGCGGTAAGAAAAATCCGATAGAAATAGCCATAATTTTTTTTATGCAACGCCCAGATTGGGGCATTTTATATGTATAATTAAACTCTTCGTTTTATTGCATGAGTTGAATAGTCGTGGTAAATAAACGAAATGCTTGCGTCTGGAGGTGATAACCGCGTACGTTTTCTTGAACCCTTATTTCGGTAGATGTGAGAGGGGGAGGGGGTCTTTATTTTGGCGCTAGGACTATTATATTAAATTGTAAGCCTGCTGTTTTTCGACGCAAAAAATACTTTTAATTACACAAGAGTGAAAATCTCTGCTTATCAGGTTTTGTTAACGCGCGTTGCTATGGTTTATTATTAATTCAGTTAGTGGTCATAGGAATTCCGAGGCTGAAGAAAACTTGCGCTTACATACTTGTAACTGACGGATGTTATGTTGGGATCGGTTATGATTAAAGCTGGTACATGATAAAACGGAAGATTAATCAAATAATTCTGTTGTCAACTTTTGTTACGTGAAGGTAATTAAACCGGGGATTCTGAGGTAGGTGGGATGGGAGTAAGTGGTGATTGAGCGGATGTAGGTACAGTATTAAAACTTAAAAATCGGAGAGAATTACCGCCGAGGCAAACTCAGGCAACGCTGCCTTCCACTGCTCTCTCTCACTCACTCTCACTCTCTCTCACTCTCTCTCTCTCACTCACACTATATTCATTACCATAAATAACGACAATTAAACAGCCATCTGATGAAGTCTGATCGGATGCTGAACAGAACCTTTCGTCAGCAGGGAGTGGAAGTGCCATTTCTCTTCAGGAGCTCGTTGCAACTCGCCTTGCGTGCGTTGGGCAAGGCGAGGCGCTACCACCGCCCGACTTTCGGAGAAATCCGCATGTAGCAAACTTCTGTCGCCCCAACGGTCTCTGGAGAGGGAGCCTGGGCGCATCGCTCGCTTGGCCGCCGCCGCCCGCATAGAAAGGTCGCACCGAAATGATCCCGTTGCAGCTCCTATGCCGGCCGGGAAGGCCGTGCTCTGTTGTGGACGAGATGCCGGATGAAAGAGGTGCAAGGGGCTGTGGCGGACCTCATCGGCGCCTGGGCGCCCCCTGCTAGGTTGGGGGGATTGGCTGGAGCGCGGGAACGCAGAGATCCCTAACTTCTGTACTCACCTCGGCAATTTCTCTTTGGCATAACACGCAATTAAATTCAAATTGTTCATCATTGTAGAATGACGACCATTGATGAATAAAGAAATGAAATTGGTCAATGCAGTTAGAGAAACAATTAGTTACGCAAACGTTTCAAAATTTTTAATTTCTTAAGAAAGAGACTAAATTCGAGAGTAACTTTACACTGCAAAAATCCGTCGGGTAAAGTACGGAGTAAATCGCAGGTAGTCGCCGCGTGCGGACGTCTTTCGAGGAGCTGCGCGAAGTGAAAGGCAATGGGCGTGGATCTTGCTGTGTACCGAGCGCGTGTTGGGGCATGGGCTGCGCGCGCCCGTCCCGGTCGGGTGGCTTCGACACAAGGGGCGTTCTCGGGCTTGCGGGAAGGAGGCGGCGTGGCTCTACTTTGTGCAGCTGTTTTGGCCACTCTCCTTGTAATAGGAGTGGAGCAAAATCCTGGTCCCGGTGTAGAGGAGGCAGAGGCGACGTGCTCCAAATGTGATAGGAACGAGCGGAGAATTAGAAGACTGGAAGCGGATTTGGCACAGGCCCACAGTCATATTGGAGAACTGACGTTAAGAATTAGGGACTCAGAAGACGTCAGCAAAGGAAAGGAGGAGCAAAATGTTCGCGTCCCACAAAAAAAGAGAAGAGCAACGAGCAGCCAAATAGGAGCGAGTCTCTTCAGCCAGGTGCGCCATATAGTAAGGCGAAGGTGCTAGGAGACTCGATGCTGCGGCGGCGTATTAAAAAAAAGGTGCCGATGTGTCTTTCTTTCCCGGAGTAGATATTGCGCAAATGACTTCGGTTGTGAATAAATCCGAACCAAATGAACAGGCAGAAGTGGTTCTAGTTCATGTAGGAACCAATACGCGGAAACGGCAACCTGTTTACGACACAATTAAACAATATGTCGAATTAGGGCTTGCCATCCGAGCTAAATTTAAAAACGCGAGGGTCATTGTTTCCGGAGTTATGCACCGTAATGATGTCCACATTAGTGGAACGCGGGACGTGAATTGTGGATTACTATGGGCTTGTGAGAAATCTGATGGCCTGTTCGTTGATCCCAATCACTGGCTTGGACACGAAGACCTAGGACGGGACGGCCTTCATCTCAACTGCCGAGGTGCATGGAAGTTGCGATGTCTTCACGGCCAAATAATACGGTCGTATTTACTTGGAAAGTGACGACTAGAGGAAGAGGCAATGATGGCGCCAAGGGCAGTGATGTTTGCTAAAAAGGGAGCGATGCGTTTGGTGACTGCTGCGAGGGAGGCGACACATCTGACTGCTGCGGGGGAGGAGACGGAGACCGCGTGTGACTGCAGCGCGGGAGGAGACCGAGTCAACGCGGGAGATGACCGCGGCACAGGAACCTAGGATGGACGCACGGGTCCCGAACACTGACTTTCAGCTGAGGAGAGGCTTCGCTAGATTGTAGCAGGTTAACTGTCGTAGTATCATGAATAAGGAATCCGAATTTTGGAATTTAATTGAAGCACGTGATCCTGATGTCATAATAGGAACAGAGTCTTGGCTTTCGGACGCGGTAGCAAACCCGGAAATTTTTCGTTCAAACTACATTACGTTTAGGAGAGATCGCGAAACTAGAGGCGGTGGTGTCTTTCTATGCGTGAAAAACACATTTAATATCAGATCAAATTGGGTTGATAAAGAATTTGAAATGACGGGTGTAGAAATTTTCTGTTCAGGAAGTATCTTAGAAATTATTGCTTGCTATCGTCCACCGGTCATCAGCTATGAAATTTTAGGCACTCTCTACGAAAGAACAAAAAATATAAATAGCCGTCATGTAGTTATTGCTGGAGACTTAAATCTCTCAGACGCAAATTGGAGTGGGATTGTTTGCGAAGGGAAAGTCTAACAACTAGTCAGCCGACTTGTCTGGGACAGCGGATTAGAGCAGGTAGTAGACCGGCTGACCCGGCAGAATGCGATTCTGGATATTTGCCTAATTAGACCGAAAGATTTATTCTTGTGCGATGTTTTAGAAGGCATAAGTGACCATAAAGCCGTTTTAGTCGATTTTCAGTTAAATATTCCAAAGAAAAGTATTACCACCGGTATTCTAGTGAAGGAATACAAGAAAGCGAATGTACAAGGATTTCAAAATTACTAGAGATATGGCGAGTTTCTAAGAATAGGAGGAGGAATCGATGAAATATGGGGAGAGTTTAAAAATATTTTAGTAAATGCTGAGCAGGCTTTTGTACCCAGTAAATTGTTAAACAGTAACAGCGATCCGGAATATTATAATGCAAAGATTAGGCAATTGAAAAGAAAAACCAGAGAAGCATTTAACAACAGATACCGTAGTGAAAATCATATGACCTTATTTCGAAATTATACAAAAGTATTAAGGAAGGAAAAGAAAATGGCAGAGGAACGTCATTTAAAACATATTCTTGATGCGGAGGGCAGTAATAATTGGTCGGTATTTTTTAAATACGTTCGCAGAAGGAAAGGATGTAAAGACGAGATTCCAGTTGTTCGTGTTAATAATTCGTCAATAACGAACCACAGGGAAAACAGGCTTTTAACGCATATTTCAGCTCGGTTTTCGAGCAGAAATCGAACAGTATTCAGATACCAACGCTGGTAGATAGAAGTAGTTTTCACATTGATGTAAATACTTTGCAGGAAAGAATAAAATTAATGAAGAGAGAAAAATCACGAGGTCCTGGTGGTATTTCCACGGACATCATTAAATTAGGTGGAGAGGCAATTCTACCTTATTTAATTAGGTTATTTAATGTATCATTAAACAACGCTTAAGTACCGGAAAATTGGAAGCTGGCTCTCGTAGTACCCATTTTTAAAAGTGGCGACAAGACAATACTTAGAAACTATAGGCCGGTAAGCCTTATATCAATCGTATGCAAACTTATGGAACATCTAATTTCAAGCTATATCAGGAAAGAATGGGAGGGCAGGGAGTGGCTTTATCAGGGTCAGCACGGTTTCAGAAATGGTTTCTCATTCGAAAGTCAGCTAGTCTCACTTCTACAGGACCTAGACGACATAGTTGATGAAGGGAAAATCGCAATAGTAATAGATTTTTCCAACGCTTTTGATGTTGTTCCACATGATCGACGTATAAAGAAATTAATAGATTCGGGTATAGACACTAGAGTTGTATCGTGGATAAACGAACTACTCCGAAAATGGAAAGTTCGAATAGGTCGGACCACTCATGTTACTGGGCTTCGTGAATGAATTGCCGACTAATTTAGCTTTAAATGTACGACTCTTTGCAGATGACTGCGTAATCTATAGGATTATCAACTCGGAGAAAGACGAGGAT